GTCACGCGGAACATACACAGATGGATGACAATGTCTTGTTGATTCAACGGATTTAACCTTAGCTAAAGCCCTTCGCAACGCCGACACAAAATCAGTCTCGGACGACTTCTGCTTGAAATCCGAAAGCATCTGCCCTGGAACACAAAGAGGATTTCCAAACAACATCTCTGAAGGACTAGCATTTAGGTCTAATTTCGGTGTCGTTCGCAATCCCAACAACACAAGCGGAAGAGACTGCGTCCAATTACTTGAGGAATGACATCGAATGGCTGCCTTCAATGTTCTATGGAAACGTTCAACCATACCATTTGCTTGAGGATGATAAGCCGTGGTATGAAAGTGTTTCACTCCAAGCAATCTCGTCAGTTCCCGAAATACAGCAGACTCAAACTGCCGACCCAAATCAGTGGTAATAGCCTGCGGAGAACCAAAACTTGCCCCCCAACCGTCGATAAAAGCCGCTGCAACTTCTTCTGCCGTAATGCCCGACAGAGGCACAGCAACAGGCCACCGAGAAAAACGATCGACGCAAGTCAAACAATAACGCTTCCCCTGAGACAAAGGCAATGGACCCACAATGTCAACATGAACATGCTGGAACCGACTATCAATATCAGCAAACGAACCAATTGGTGTTTTAGTATGCCGCTGAATCTTGGACTTCTGACACGCAATGCAACTACGCACAAACACAGCTACATCCTTAACCAAACCAAGCCAAACATACCTAGCCTGCACCAATTTCCGCGTTGCTCGAATACCAGGATGAGCCAAACCGTGGAGTTTTGAGAGTACCAGCTGCCGACAGTTTGCGGGAACAAAAGGACGAACACGACTGCCTGACACATCACAGTACAGTTCAATACTCGAATCCGGCAATCTCAACTTCTTCAACCCAACCCCATCTTCAGACTGGCTCTTCAGCTGAGCGAGCAACTCTGCATCAGTCTTCTGCCCCTCAGCAATTAACTCAATAACATTTGCCTCCAACTGAACCGTAGCAACCCGAGACAAAGAGTCAGCCACCGTATTATCTGCACCAGCCAGATGACGAATATCAGTGCAATACTGACTAATAAACTCCAGCTGTCTTGCACGACGAGGAGATGCCTTCTCACTTATTTGCCTGAACGCAAACGTTAAAGGTTTGTGATCCGTAAAAATGACGAAATCACGTCCCTCTAATGCATACTTAAAATGCTGGACAGCTTGATAGATAGCAGTCAACTCACGATCATAAGCACTATACTTAGTCTGCGCTGGACTCAAACCTTTTGAATAAAATGCCAATGGCTGAGTCACACCTTTCACTACTTGTTGGAGAACAGCACCCACCGCAACGTCTGAAGCATCAGTCGTGAGCGTCAATTGTGCATCCAGAGCCATGAAGTTAAGCAACGTAGCTTGGGCAAGATCATTCTTGCAAGCCTCAAAAACCTCTACATCTTCTGGAGTCCAAGAAATCACCGACTTATCATTCTTGCGGTTACCTGGTGTAAGATGAAACAACCGCTGCTGATTCTGCACAGCGTTACGCAGAAACGGCCGATAAAAGTTCACCATGCCTAAGAATTGTCTAAGCTGTTTCACCGTTGCTGGCAGAGGAAAATCACGAACAGCTTGAACTTTACTCTCCGGAGGACGTAAACCCTTTGCACTAATAACGTGCCCAAGGAACTCGATCTCGGAACAGCCGAACTTACACTTGGCAAAATTCACGGTCAAACCAGTTTCTCTAAGTCGATCTAAAACCAGTCGCAAATGCATTCTGTGTTCTGCTTCATCTTTTGACGCAATTAAAATATCGTCGATGTACGCAAAAACGAAATTAAGATCACCTAGAGTCTCATTCATAAAACGCTGAAACGTCTGGGCAGCATTACGGAGACCGAAAGTCATAAAGCGAAACTCGAACAGGCCAAACGGAGTTGTAATAGCTGTCTTCGGAATGTCTGCCAGTGCAAGCGGTATCTGATGATACGCTTTCTGCAAATCTATCTTCGAAAACATAGTTTTACCATGAAGAATACTCGTCACATCATGAATGAACGGAATCGGATACCGATCAGGTTTAGTTTGCGCGTTGAGCATGCGATAATCGCCACACGGTCTCCAACTTCCATCGCCTTTGCGAACCATGTGAAGTGGACTTGCCCAACAGCTTTTCGAAGGTTGACAAATCCCTGTCTGGACTAAAAATTGGAATTCCTTCTTGGCTTCTTCAAGTTTGGCTCCAACTAAACGTCGGGGACGAGCAAATGACGGCGCACCAAATGTCTCGATGCAATGTTCAACCTTAGTAACTAAACCCATCCGATTTGCACTCATAATGCCTAAATCACGGTATTCATTAACCAGCTCAGCATAAGCTGAAACTGAACCACACACACGCACAGTATCTTCTTGAGACACAGCAGCCTTACCCTTCATCATCAAAGTCGTCTTCGAATCAACTAACCGCTTCCTTTTCAAATCCACTAACAAGTCATAGTGATTAAGGAAGTCGGCTCCAACAATAGGACAGCTAACATCCGCAATCACGAACGTCCACGGGAAATCTCTACGCAAACCCAAAGACAAAAGCAGTCGACGCTCGCCAAATGTTTGAATAGGCGTACCATTAGCGGCATATAAATTAACTGATGCAACACTGTTAGCCCTTTGCTTCCAACGACAGAACGACTTCGGTAAAACTGATATGTCCGCACCAGTATCAATGAGGAAAACGGTCGACGTGGCGGGATCTTTAATACTAAGTCGAGCTATACGAACACTAACCCCTTCTCGGCTCGACGACGTAGAAGGAGTGCCTAGTTTTTTGACTGATGAGAGCTTGCCACAAAACTACAGGGCTGCCGACAAGCATTAGCTCTATCACCAAACCTTTCGTGATACCAGCACCAATCTGGATGACTTCCTGGTCGGGAACGAGTTCGCCTACGCCTCCTCGATGACGATCGACTTTGCACCGACTCACTACGACGTAAATCCAAACGACTCAGACGCTGTTCGATTTGCTCAAGCCTTCGTAAAATCACAGCATTCTCAGAATAGGCTGGACAATCAGAGGCTGACGCTACAGCTATCTGTTGAAAATCACCCGCCTCGCAAATACGATCTGCTAATTTCGCCAGTTCTGCTAGTGCCACGTTCGATGCCTGCAGAATAGCGCGCACTTGTGGTGGCAAACGCTTCAGCCAAAGAGACTTAAGGAACTCATCGCTCACCTTGTCTTTAGCTAACGCTGTCAACTCCGTTAGCAACTGTGTTGGGCGTCTATCACCAAGTTCAACTTCTGACAACAACCGTTGAATCTTCCGCTGCTCGCTCTCACTGTACCGCTCTATGATGCAAGCCTTTAAATTAGCGTATCTTCCAGTTTCAGGAGGATGAAGCACTGCATCACTTACATCGGCGATAACACTTGACTCAATCGCTGCTACTACCGTGTTGAACTGTGTGATGTCACTCGTAATGGCAGCTACTGCGAATTGCGCCTCGATCTGAGCAAACCAAATCTCCGGTCGCTCGTGCCAAAATGGTGGCACCTTCACTGCTACACGGTTTACGACACTTCCACTATCAGAAGCCATAACTACACCTTCGTCTGCAACTGACATCACAGCTCGATAATTAGATATTTAGCTCAGAAGTTAATATTTCTAAATTTAAACTTTTTCGAAATCACGTCGGGGTCACCAATTTAGCAATGATCTGTTCACCTTGCTAATTAATAAAACTCTAAAAATTTTCAATGTTAATAAACTTTTATCCAACTTTTTACAGAGAGAAAAATCGGAACGTTCTCCTCAATCAAAACAAAAAACTTAAAAATATTTGAAATTGAATTTTACTTTTTAAATTCAATAAATGCACAGCCAACTGGGTCGCCACATATGCATTGTGTTCGGATAACTTATGCTCGCATCCTGATTTGTGGGCATTATATCCCAATTATTTGTTTATTGGACTTATCATAACTGATGAGTATAATGTGATGCTTCACAAAATTTCAAAATTAACTTCGTAAAACAAAAATATGCAGTAGTGTTTTTGATGGATAATAAACTTTCTGTTGCGGGTTGCAAAATATTTTTGGAATTATTTAGCATAATGTTATTTCATTTTCAACCAATATAAAACAAGAGGATGCAGTGGTTCAAAGGATAATAAACCATATCGGCACACACGCAATTCGCATATTTAGTTGTCAGTTTTAATTAGGATGAAGTTTTTGCTTGAATTTGATACCAAATATCTATCTATCTGCAATGTACAATAATTAAAGCCTTCAAATGTATATGAATTTTGAGTTGACTTCTTTTTACACTAAGGGCTTCAACTGTCATTTCAACCTAAACCAACCTTAGGGTTTAATTGCGTAAATATTTGATAGTCAATATACAGCATTTGACTCCACTCTTCTCTACATAATCCCGCCAAGCCATGTAAGATTTTTACGTGGAAGCGGACAACCGAAATGTACTTGTATAAATTAATGTGTTATTCACTATATTCTGTTTTTCGGACTACTTCGAACCCTTTATTTTAAATTTAATTAATAACTGACTTGATCAAAATCTTAAATCAATTCTTATAGTCTAAATTAGTAGCAAAAAGTGCAGCATTAACAGGAGCTGTTGTTCATATAGTTTCCAAGGGGAAATATGATCGTTGGTAATAAACGTTGCACCGCAATAGGTAAGGACAATGATCATAATAGCACCTGTATACTATTTGGCATATTTCGAATCACATTGTCGACGACTGCAACCTTAGCTAAAGTAATATTAAGTAAGTGTCAGCAACATTAACTTATATAAGTGAGCTTACTAATTGATCGATCACAAGATCACATATCAAGATATCAAATTTGCGAAGGATGCTTTTAGTAGTTTGTTTTGGGTAGTATATATTATAAACGGTGTAAACGAATTTTTCAGGAACTCTATATTCGTTTTTACCTCAGTATAAATAAATAAACTATTTCAGTCAGTTTGACATATCAGTTAATTGTTAATGCATAACAAAATAAATTATGTTCATAAAATATAGCAATCAAATAATTAGTAAATCTAATGTTGGAATACAAAAATGAGTGCCTGATAAGCAAACAATAATATACAATGTAACCAAATAACTATAAAATGAGAAAAATATCAAGTTTATTCTCTTACCCCACTGATGTTCTGCATCGCACTAAATCCATTCCCAAACTATTTCTTAACCACAGTATGTATACATATAAACTTAAAAATTCAGACACATAAAATCTTCCATTGTTCCAGCATTATTTAGACCAATTACTACACAAGGCGTGTGAGTTTTTGCCATCGTAGATATAAAAATTACATCAATGGTCTTAGATGAAAAGACGTTATACACGCGTTAGAAAATCGCTTCAAGTACCGGTATATATAAGCAACATAATCGGATGATATTGAACATTATTGACAGTTAATCTATACAACTAATCCATAGTTGTATATGAACTATGGCGGAATAACGACTAGAGTAGCGCAAGAATCAATATTGGTGCCTGAACTATGGTGAAATAACAACTGGAGCAGCTCAAAGTTAAATTTTGGTTTCTGAAGTATGGAATATCACTTATGATGATATTTTACAAATAAAGATGTCCCGATGATACTTTTCTATGTAAGTTTATGCAGATGACATTGCAACTATTATTATTAACCGCGATAATAAAATATTGTAAAGAAAACTAACACTAGTGATGTTGAGAGTACAGTTCTCATTAAGCTCACATGGGTTACAGCTGTCTACTCCTAAAAGAGAAATGCTTCTATTAACAAGAAGGCATATAAATACGGATATACAGATCTTTTTTTATAGTGATGACAATATTCGGTCGAAACAACACATACAAGTCATACGCGATATGCAATTTTGTTGATATTACTTTTCTGTTCTTAAAGTTAAGTTACAAAAATCAGTACAAATTAAATGATATGAAAATTAATTCAATTTAACTTAACTTAACCACCTGTAGAATAGCTAGAATTATGTGCAGACATATATACGAGAAAAAGTACACCAAGGATGTTATATCGTCTAGGCGACAGAATTGTAGAACATTAATTGGTGTATTGAGAGGTCACTGTCTGGTCGCATCAAATTCGCACAAACTAAACCTCATTCACAGCGATGTATGTAGGAAATGCAATGCGCCGGATGTAAACGAAACTCTGAAGCATCTGCTATGTAACTGCCCGACTCTCTCGAGAACTTGACAAAAATATTTGGGGGCTGTCAGTTTTACCAGACTAGAGCACATACCTGAGGTTTCTGTTGAAATCCTAATAAAATTCGCTCATAACAAGCGCATCCTAAGCGATGCACACTATCGCTAAAAAGAAAAAAAAATGAGGCTATGATCTGGTATCGCAATGGACTTTAATGGTCTACGTGTGACGTTTTTGGTCTGCCAGCGTAACCTAAAACCTAAACCTAATTCATCTTATAAATCTACTGCCCAACTTCAATTTTCAACAGTTGAATTATTTCTAATTATTAAATATTCTACACAAAAGTTTAATAAATTTCAACTACAACAATAATTACAACAACTGCAAGAGCAACAAGAACAACAAATACAACAACTGAGACGACTATAATCACAGCTGAGAGATAAAGTTACACAAGTTTTCAAAAAGGGCTACCAAACATTGTTGCAATATAAAATTACTCAAGTGTGACTTGATGTAAGCAATACAAACATGAATCCAAATTTGGTAACAGAAACCAACAACAACAACAACAACAACAACAACAACGGCTTCATCTCACACAAGAACAGTGTAGTATCAATAGCAGCGCATGAAAACAATAAGAAAACAACAAAAACAAATAATACAACGATTATGTCCAAGCTGAAGCGTACAAAACTTTTAAATGAATTACAAGCTAAGCCAAAAGCTCTCAAGGGTTTTCAACTCTGAAAAGTTCATTCATATGCCCAATCCAATACAATTGCGAGCATGCCACTCACACACTGTATAGAGAATAGAAAATACAAGAAAAAAGTATGCAAACAATAACAGTTACAAACCCAGCAAACAAAAATAATAACAATTTAGCAAGCAGTCAAGCACTCAAGCAGTCAAGCAACAAACCAGCCAACGAACTATTCTCATCCAGTATTGTGCTATAGCTAGCATGCCAACTTTGCTTGCACGTATACATACATACGAATACGAATACGAATACGAATACGAATATGTATGTATTTGTACTTTGTTGCAAAATAGTTAATTGTGTATTGAGACTGATAGCATTTGAGACTAATCCCAATAATAATATAAGTGAAAAGAATAACAACGACAAAAACAATAAAAAAAGTGAAATAACTTAAATATAAAGTATGTATATGTTGTTGTTGTTTTTTGGCAACAAGTCAATTAGAATTTTGCTTTTTTTTTGTTTTTTTTTGGTCGTTTTGCTTTCATACGACAACGTATCAAAGCACAAAATACAATAAAAATTAAATATTGCCTTAATGGTAGAAGTTTGTAAGTGTTTTTTGGCATGATTTGAGTACAGTTATATGAGTAGAATATATACTATATAAATATATATACGTACTAAAATCCAAGTGATCCCTTTAATGCCTCAACTAATTGCCAATCGACACTTGACATGACTGCTGGCAAGCTACATTATCATACAGTTGCCTCTCCCACCCAATTCTCTTAGCTAACATTAACAACTGCACCTTGAGAAGACTTGGACGCCTTTTGTTGCTACTATTCTTTTGGGTATGTGTTGGTGTGTGATGATGTATACATGTAGTTGGATGTGTGTATAAGTTTATGTGTAAGTGTATGTATAAGTGTGTGAAAGTGCGGTTACTTTGGTTATCTCAGCATGTCCAACTGAAAATCTTAAACTTAAGCGCTTAAATTAGTTAATAACGTGCTGAGTTCGAATTTTGGTTGCGATATGAACTTCTTAAGTAGCAGAGAAGTGTTGCCATGTATTATTCTTCAGCTAACAATTGTGTAATTGTGTGTGTGCGTGCACTTTGTGTGGGTTTGCTAGAATTGAACTGACATTCATTTTGTTTGTTTTTTTTTTAGTATTTGTAGTTTTTGTATAATTTTTTGTTTGTTTTCATTTTTGATTTTTTTTTTTAATATTGAATGTTGAACGGTCAAAAAGTGAATTTTACTTTTAGAAATTCAATTAAAACGCACCATAAGTTTTGTGGATTCAACAAGGATCAAGGATAACGATTGTGTTAAAATACAGTTAAGCGGTGTAAATGTGTGCAGTGATAGCGATAAGGTTTATTTTATATACCAAATCGTTGTTTATTTTCTTCTATTGAGTTAAAAGTAAGTGAGAAATCAGTAGTGTTTCAGAGTATTTGTGCAAGAAATGAATATTCTTTATTATTTTTACTTAAGCAATAGCAAAATGTATAACTGTAGAGATTAAAAAAAGTTAACTTAAATATTACCTTAATACAAAATTATGTAAAGTTTGCAACTGAAGTAAATTTTAGGAATTATTTCAGTTTTCTCTTCTTCATGGTTCCATTTTAACTAGACCTTAAGATACTACTACTAATACTAAATCTACTAGTACCACAACTAGTTCTACTGGAACTAGTTTTAATACTAATACTACTACTATTTCTACTAGTACTACTACCATTTCTACTAGTACTACTACTATTTTTACTAGTACTACTAGTATTTCTACTAGTACCACCACTATTTCTACTAGTACCTCTACTATTTCTATTAGTATTACTACTAGTTCTACTAGTACCACTACTATTTCTATTAGTATTACTACTAGTTCTACTAGTACTAGTATATTTTGAGTCTTGGCAACACTGATTGTTATCAGATGACGTTCCCATACGAAAGTTTGACATTATTAAACATAACCCAACTCAGACTTTTTGTCAAAAGAGCATTATTTGTGTTACTCATATTTAAAGTGATTTGTACATTGCGCGTTAGTGAAAATCTGAGATTACCGCGAGAAAAATTTCGTGCAATAATTTATTACGAAAATTCGTGAAACTCATCCGAAATCAGTTACAAGATCAACCAATCCAACAAAAGAAGGTCGCGCTTAAAGCACTTCGAAACAACTGGTCACTTGTTTTTTCGTGAAAACTGGTTATGTGGCAACTATACGGATACCATTACAGAAACGTAAAACGGTCAATTTCGAATAGTATACAACCATTTGTTTACCGGAAACCATCAGTGAAATACAGGTTACAAACAAGTGCCATCGGATCATTCTCCAATGCGACAATACAAGTGCTCACACATCTCGTCTAACAACCGAAATCGAGTTGATTTCTTGAATGTTCTTCTTCTTGTTTCCGAAAGTCAAGAATAAATTGCGCGGACAACGATTTTTGTTGTCTAACTGCAGAAGAAGCAAAAGCCGTTATGACATTTACGAGTAAGAACCATGTTTTTGAGGTGCCTGAAGAAGATTGAAAGAAGAAAGGAATATACTTCGAGAAACAATTAAACAATTTTCAATGATATGTTAGTATTTTTTCATTATTAGGCTAAAAATATAAATAACGACTATCGTACTAGTTCTACTCATGCTACTGCTAGTACCACTGCTACTACCACAAGTACTTCTCCAAATACTAGTACCTTTTCTACTACTAGTACTTTTTCTACTACTAGTACTTTTGTTTCTACTAGTACTTCTTCTATTACTAGTACTTCTACTACTACTACTTTTCCTACTACTAGTAGTTCTCCTAATATTATACCATTACTATAGGTACATTTACTAGTATTACTAGTACTTTACGTACTTTTACTATTAGTAATAATACTTCCACTACTATTAGTACTTCTCCTACTACTACTTTCCACCTCCACTACTCTAGTACTACCACCACTACTTGCACTTCTAATGCTACTATTATACAATTTACCCAACACTAACTATTACTGGTTATTTGCATAACCTTACTTTTCCAAGAGTACAACGAGTATTTATATTTTTTTAATTTTACTTTTGCAAGTTACTTTGTGAATATTTCGTAACTGATTTAATTATTCTTAAGTTAAAAATAATTTTAATTTAACTATATAAAAATATTTATGTGCCAAAGTACATCAGCTTTTTTACGCAAAAACTTTGTTGCCTCAATGAAGGGCTTATTTTTAAAAAGTCCATTTCTATCAGCTGGAGGAAGTTGTTTATAAGAAGTTATAACTTTACATTAGTTTACTAAGTTTGAATTTTGAACGAAAAGTACTAAGTCGCTTCATTGCGTTACTACGTTTGCAATGAAGCGAATTTTTGTCATCTGGCACTGTCTTTAATCTCAGGCCTCTAAAGAAAAGCGAATGAGACTACGAAATATCGCTGCCGTAGAAACAAGTGTTGTGCAGTTGATCTGCAACAACCATCAATCAGGTGTGTTATCGGGGTGTGGTAATCGGTTTTTTGATCCCCATTCTTCATGAAAATGTTAAGTTGCATTATTGATTTCAATCATCTCGTACAGCTCGTACCTCAATAGAATTTTTCAAGCCATTGTTTTGCGAACATTAATGTTTTTTTATTGTTAATTAAAAAAATCGAAAAGCAGTGTTTTGAATTCCCATACTTCCCTCACTTAAGTGTGACATCTTTCATTTTTAATAGTTCATTACTTTTTTCATTGCACACAGGATATAATAAAATACAACCATTAAGATTTTAAATATTCTTCATGTCAAAGAAGTGAATTTTCTTTAATAATTCATTTTAAATTTTCTTACTCTAAAGCATTTTTCATGTGATTTTCACTACTCAATCTTTTTCTTATGAAAAAGAATAGTAAAAAATAAGTTCACAATAAAATATCTGCTGTATGCTGCCTTATATCCTTTTTCAGGATACAAAGAATAGCATAGAAACTTTATATTAAATAACATAAACTTCCGTCGTCGATTATTTATAGAAAATGCGCTTTTTTAGTCTTTTAGTCATCTTTTATAATTTTTCCAATATTTTTCAATATTTTATTTATAAGCCGTTTCAATGAAAATAAAAACAAGAATTTGTGATTACTTAATAAATTCAATAGAAAATCATGAATTTTTCCAATTTTTGCAATTTTTCCACTGACAAGAAAGGACGAAAGTCATATAATTTTTGTGCCTTCTTCTGTCGCATTGCTTTTTAAATCTGCAGTATTTTTATAATATACAGTCGAGGCATTTGCCGATACACGAGTTCGTATGTGTGTATATTTATGCGAAGAGGATGCAGGATATTTCAAGATGTGCTTCCAACTATGAGCTTTGCAAGTTTAGCCAATATTTGCACGATAGTTTTGCACATGCACATTTAATGTGTCTGTAAATATTCTCAAATAAAACGCTTGATTGAGTGTTGAGTAATGCAAAATTTTACTAAACAAACAATTCTTCATATAAACATATATTCGTATATATAGGGTGGCCCAACTAAACTACAACTTATCAAAAAACTGTATTCGTTCGTTTATTTAAAATTGATTTCATTCAAATATAAAATATATTGAAATTAAATTTAAATTTATTATTTTGAATTTCCAAATTCGTATCAGTCAATTCGATATGACCTACTTCAACATCAACTTTAACTCTAATACCATGTTCCCACTGCAGCTAAATCAATTTCTGTTAATCAAATTAAAATTCGTTTGTTTCTAATGGCATAAGTTGATTTATGCATGTGAAAGAGCTTTTATGTATCAGAAAGTTCAGTGAAAGTTCTACGAAAGCTTTTGTTTATTCACATTTCAATTGATATCCATCTGAAATAAATATTTATTGTTAAATAATTTATAATACTTTATATTCATATCAAATATATATTTGTTGTGATTATATATTTTATTTATAAAAAACAAACATTATAAAAAATTTTTATGTTCCATGTGTCAAAAATGTTAAATTTCGATCATTTCTCTTTTAGAAAATATATTCTCCAAAATTGCTTTCGACATTTTTGGTGTAATTTCAGTTAATTTGTCGTTAACTAAGTTGGAAAGCACGAAAGCTCTTTGTAAGGTTAATCAACTTTAGTTAATTTCAATTCAATTAATTTCAGTTAATTTATCGTTAACTAAGTTGGAAAGCACGAAAGCACTTTGTACGGTTAATCAACTTCATTAGTGATCTAAATCAAATAAACAGCTTTAATGAAGGCAATGGAAACATTATCAAAATCGATTAGGACAATTTTGAGTATGTCAACACTTAGACATTTTGTAATGCTTTTACCTTGGCTTCAAAACGAAAAGTCGGGCGGCATTTAACTTAATGCCATATCGAAAAGCCGGGCAGTTTTTACTTTGGCGTCATAACGAAAAGTTGAGCGGCTTTTATCTTAGCATCATAACGAAAAGTTGAGCGGCTTTTTTTTGAGTGCCGGCGAAAGCTATTGTAAGATCGCAATCATAAGTGAAGAGTTGTTTTCAATCCCATTGTTGGTCAGTAAGGGAGTTCTGTAGCCGAAATTTTTGAATTCTCATCAAAATCAACTGATTTTTCATCTACCGCCAGAGCCAACATTCATAGAAGTTTAAGCAAAAATTCTGAAACTGAAGTGGAATCGTCGCCATGCATTTTTTCGTGAAGTATAAGGGGCGAGAGCATAAAGTACTAACAACAAAGTCTGGCATCATCCTGGCTGTCCCTGATGGCTGTTTCTGATGAAGGAAGCGAAACTTCCTTTTTAAACCTTCTTCTTTCAAACTTTGGCATTAATCTTTAACGATTATCGACTAACATCACTGTTGATTTCCCTAACTATCATAGAACATGGTACTTATAGCTATTGAATTCTTGAACTTTGAAGTTATTGGCAGTTTATTTGAGTCACCCTGTATATCTATTTAGATGTTCATGTATGCAGTACAGAATATAATGCACGTACATTTCAGAAACAAGAAATATGTATTTGTTTTTCCTTAGAATAATGCATTCCAGAAATCTTTTAACCAAAGTTAAACTTACACGCAAAGAAGCTAAACGCGAAGACACAGAGGACTGAAGTGAAAAATAAAGCATTTGGTGCTGAATGTTGTGTGTTGTGTGTTGTATGTTGAAGAACGAGACGTATATGTGCGTAGATACTTCATTCTGTGTGTACGAGTAATATGTGCATGTGCTAAAGTTAACGTGTATATTTATATATAAAATTGCTATAAGGATAAACAAATCCTTTTAGTTATGCACAACAAACAAAATTCTTGCTTACGACAATGGCAAACAGTAGTTGTGTGCTCGTGTAAGTAAGTTTATAATATCATCAATTTATATGTATGTATATGCATCCCTGTGTAGGTATATACTCATATGCATTTATAGAAATATATATAAATATAGAGTTATAAATATGTAAGTATGTACGTATTTGCTTAGTTAAAAGTCATACAATTCATTGCACATGAAATTTTCTGCTGATCACAGAGTAAGGATTTGTTTTAAATGTCGTTTGCTCTGTTAAAATTGCAAAAACTTCAATACGCAATGCATAAACTCTGCACAACAGTATTGTACTGTGCTTTTTTTTATAGGTTTGACTGATTGTTCATGCATTCGGATAGATATATATATAGTGATATATATGTTCGTACAATTTATTATTTTGTATGTGTGCTTATCGTGCATGACTGATACGTATTTAAAAATTGAAAATATTGGACCAAAGAATCTATAGTACAAAGAAGTGCCACGCTCATACAAACGAAATACCCACTTTATTTTGCTGGTGGATTTATAATAAATCCACCCAACCTCATGCAACAATGTTCGATCGAGAGTCACAACTGGTATGATGTCCAGTTCAAACCTATATGTGAATCGAGTAAGGCTGACAAAAGCCCGACTGCATACGTATTCAATCATACAT